ACGGACTGAATTAGTATAGTGAGAGAAAGCAAACTGATGTACACCTATTCTGATTTTAAACCACGGGGTATTTTACTTTTGTTTCTTGGTCTGTATACAGATTCTATGAGCACAATTAAGTGTTTTGAAACTCATGTTCTATTCAGTGTTATCCATAATCTTCTATGATCCACACAGATGTCCCTGAATAGTCAATAAGACAAAGGGAAATGTTCTCATATTACGTGTTTTCATTCAAGATTCATATGACATCAGCAATAATGTCCTTTACTATCTTCTGAATCTGGTTTGACTGACAGTTCTTTATTGATGTGGTTTTTTTAAAAATTGTTTTCTATAAAACTTTGCTAACATGTGATAGTAATGGTTCAAATCAATAAAACCAAATGTAAGCAATTGAGTTGATTCCAACTTACAGTGACCCACTTCATCAGGTTTCCATTTTTAAGGGGAAGAGACTGTGTATCTTTCTTTGCAGAAAGGCTAATGGATTTGAACAGCTGACTTTTTGGTTAGCAGAACAACATACAATACATTAAACCATTAGAATAACTGATATTAATGATACTGCTCAATAATTTCTTTATTTTTTTGGAATGTAGTTGTTATTGCTGCTGTACTGTAGAGTCCAAATAGACTACAGCTGTACCTCTGGCAGGTTTTCAAAGGCTGTTAATACCATGGGAGGAGATTAACCATCCCTTGAGGTATCTGAATTCATGTGTTGTTATGTTGTATCATCAAGTCAAAACTAACTCATAAATGTTATATTCCTGGATTTCCAGAGGCTATGAATCACATTTCAGTATAGATTTTGAAATATTTTCGTTTTTTTACAACTAATGTGATTCTAGTCCTCTTCAATTTTTCAATATTAGTGTAGTACATCATTGTAGAACTAAGATATAAATGAGTTCCATTTTATTTCTCATGACTTCCAATTTTCCTAGAGTTATAGTTTCAAAAATATGATTATTAATAGGTGCTTGAAGCTACTGACTCTTAGATGAATCTTACTGATTCTTAGATGCTTTGTTCAACCAACATCATTAAGGTCTACTCTACTTTGAGGAGACACCTCTTCCCCAATTGTATTTTGAGTGTCTTCTAGATAAGGGCCTCACCTTCCAACACTATTTAAGCTTGCCATAAGGCTCAGAAGATTTTCACAGGTACATTTTCAGAAATAAATTACCAGATTTTTCTTGCTAGTCTACCTTTGTCTGGAAGCCCTGCAGACATCAGTCTATCATGAGTGATCCTGATGGTATTTGAAATTCTAGTGACATAGCTTTTAGCATCATATCAACACAATAGCCACCACTGTATGAAAAACTGAGACAAGTGGTAGAAGTGGCTGCAAATAGGCTATATTTAGATGATTTGCTACCTCAACTCATTCTCATGCCTGACCAAAGCCACAGACCTTCTGTTGCTATTTTTTCCCATAGTAGTCTCATTCTTCTGTAATATTGGGCACTTCCTTCTTTCCAAGCTTCCTGGGAAACCACAGTAATAGTATTGCCCAAGATGGCTCAGAAGTTTCTCAGCAGTGAATCTGGGACTTTGAGGGTTTTGAGTGTGAGAGGGAGCTATGTGGTAAGTGTGGCCATCACTCCTCCTCCAGATATTGCCCAGGCCCAAATCACATGGGTTCTAAGGCTCCCCAAAGTCTTGAATGTTCTCCTTCTGTCTATTTCCAACACATTTGTAGGGTATGAAGAAGCATAGTAGAAATGCATAAAGTAGCAAGGCTGAATGTCGGAGAATGAAGCTGTCACAAGCTTGCATGGAGCAAGTCATGACTAGCTATGCTCACTAAAGTACTTTCATCTGTGGTATGATCATGGCAAAGAGATACCAGAACCAGAAACCATGTGATATGAGTCTCTCTACCTTTCATGAGAGAGGATACAATGTTGTATTGTTGTTAGTTTCCATCAAGACGAATAAAACTCCTAGTGACTCTATGAACAACAGACCTGAATCCTGTCCTACTCTTGTGCCATCTTCATTATCCCTAATACACTTGAGGTGTACTGTTATCAGTACACCTTATTGGGGAATCTTTCTCCCTTTTGCCAAACCTCCACCTTTCAGCATGATCTCTTTCCACAAACGGCCTCTCCTACTAATATTATCAAAATATGTGAGCCAAAACCTTGCCATCGTTGCCTCTGAGAAGCACACTGGCTTAACTTTTTCTAAGACATATCTTGGACAAGTGTTGCATCATTTGTTTTTATATCCTTTGTGGGATATTCAGTGCTCTTCTTAAAATCACAGTTTAAAGGCACCAATTCTTCTGTTATTTTTATTGTCTTCAGTCACCAATTATCATTAACACATCCTAATTGCATGTTTGATCAATTTCAAACTGCAAAATTTGGTAAAAATTCTCAATTTCTTCCTCTTTGGCACTAGATGTAGGAGTATATACTGAATAATAGTTGTATTTACAGGTCTTCTCTCTTTGTGCATGGATATTATCCTACCACTCACAACATTGCATTTCAGGATAGAATTTGAAATTGACTTTTTGACTATGAATGCAAAACTATCCTTCTGTTTTTCATTCCCCGCATAGCATATCATATGATTATCCGATTCAAAGTGGTCATAGCTGGTGCATCACATCTCACTAATGCTTAGTATGTCCATATTCATGCATTCCATTTAATTTTTAACAACATCCAATTTTCCAACATTCAAGCTCCAAACATTGCAAGTACCAATTGTTAAGTTTGTTACTGACTTTCCTCATTTCAACTAACTTCCAAACTGAGCTCTAAAACTACACTACTATAAATTTACTCTTTGTTTAGTGTTCATAGGGTTTTCAAAAGCCTTTTATTTAGGGAATAGATGGCCCATCCTGTTTTCTAGTCTGTCTTAATCAGGGAGCTCCATGAAAACCCATCCATGACAGGAAACCCTTTGGGAATTTGACACACCAGTGGCTAAGATTTCAATATTACAGCAACCCCAAATAATCACAGTGCAGCAGACTGACAGACAAGTGCTGCATTACTTATAACAGTGTTCTTTCTAAACACAATCAATAGCAGGCGTGAGTAAAGGTGTTTGACTCTGTGGATCATGACAAGTTGTGGCTGATGTTGAGAAGAATGGGAATCCCAGAGCACTTGATTGTGCTCATGAGGAACTTATACCTGGACCAGGATCCTGTTGTGTGAATGGAGCAGGGGAGCACTGCATGGTTTGGAATTGGGAAGGGAGTATGTCAAGGATGTATTCTGTCTCCATACCTGTTCAATCTATATGCTGAGTGAATTATCTGAGAAGCTGGACTCTGTGAAGAGGAATGTGGCATCAGGATTGGAGGGAGACTCATCAAGAACCTCTATTATGCAGACACTTGCTGAAAAGTGAGGAGGATTTGAATCACTTGTTGCAGATGATAAAAAAATGCAGCCTTAAGTATGCATTGCATCTTAATATCAAGAAAACAAAGATTCTTACCACAGGACCAATATGACGGATGGAGAGGAGATTGAAACAGCTTCATCTCGCTTGAAACCACAATTAACACTCTTGGTACAAGCAGTCAGGAAATAAGAAAATGCATTGCAATGGGTAAATCTGCAGTTAGGGACCTTTCCAAATTATTGAGGAGTAGTGTTGTCAGTTTGAGAACTAAGGTGCATCTGATTCATGGTCTTTCTGATTACTAGCTATGCATCTGAGACCTGGGCAATGAATAAGGTGACAGAAAAAGAATTGATGCCTTTGAGCTGTGGTGTTGGAGAACACTGAACATTCCATGGATGGTCAAAAAAAACAAATAGATACGTCTTGGAGAGGATGAGCCAGAGTGCTCTTTGGAGGCAAGAATGGTGGGGCTTTGCATAACATACTTTGGACATATTGCTTGGAGGTGCTATTCCTTGGAGAAGTTCATGATGTTGGGAAGGGTGGAGGGTCAGTGAAGGAGAGGAAGATCCTCAACCAGGTGGATTGACAAGGTGACTGCTGCAGTGGGCTCTTGTGTGTCAGATAGTATGAAGATGGCGCAGGACAGGAGTGGTTTCAGCTCTTTTGTTCATAGGGTCACTATGAGTTATACTCCACTCGATGGCATCTAACAACAACAACACTGTTTAGCTTTCAGATGCGTAGCAAATGACTGAAGAGATCATGACCTGAATCAAGCACATTTTATTCTTCAAAGTAACACCATTGCTCTCCAGTATTTTTGAGACATTTCTGACAGTGGACTTTCCCAAATCAATGTGTCTCCTGCTCTCCTGACTGTTGGTACTAAGGGTATTGATTGTGGATTTAAATAAGATGAGATAGTTGACAGTTTCAGTTTACTATGCTGAAGATGAGAAGGTGAGAGAAAAAAATCGGGTCGCTTTCATAGTTAAAAAGTCCATTTCTCCAGTACTGCATAGTGCCACTGTTGTAAAGCAGGTCTGACATTGGGTTTGGGGGGAACCTAAGAAAAGAGGAGATAAGGGAGAGAACTGTTTAAAAGGAATATGTTGTTATTGTTGAGTGTCTTCAAGTCGTAGAGGACTCTTAGCGACCCTATGAACAAAAGGCCTGAGCACTGTTCATAGTTTCTGGAGGCAAGCCATTTCAGAAGTGGATGCCACTTTTGCTTCCAAACTTGTTTTAATCAGGAAGCTCCACCAAATACTGTCCACCATGGGTAACCATTATCACATTTGGCACATCAGTGTCACAGTGTTTAGCATCACAGCAACCATGAGTTACCTTTGTACAACAATGCACAGAGCAGTGCTATATCACTTAGAAGAATGTGTGACAAAAAAAA